AGGTTCAGGAACATGTCGCTCAGAGAAATCGCGTCCCGCTGTCTCGTCCGCTGCGTGTCGGTCACGTTGCGCTGGATCTCGGGCAGGACCTGCGGGGCACGCCACAGCCCACCCTCGTACCAGAGCTGGTTTCGATACTCGGCGTGTTCTTCCAGCCGGCCCGTGTCCTTGCGGATACGTTTCAGTTCTTCGGCCAGCTTCACCAGCGAAAGATACAGCTTGCGTTTTCCCGCTTTCTCCTTCTTGATTTCTTCCTTGTAATAGGAAGTATCCTTGGTTCTTTTTTTCGCAGAGGACGTCATTGCTAATTTTTTAGTTGGTTCGCCGGGTTGTTGTCTCCCTCTTCAGCTGGATCCGTGGGTTGTTTTTTTTCGGTATTGGAACGTGATAGAGAAATGCTTTACTACAGTGTCGCAGCGAGTAAGATTTGTTCATTCTTCATAGGTCCACAATTCACAATGCACCTTGACGTTCTTCGCACTTGTGGAAGCAGCGAAGGGAGAGGAATCAAAGATTTTGATTGATTCAGTCAGAATCGGGAACGACTCGTCATGATCTTTGATCTTCGAATTTTTTTAAATCATTTTTCTTTTTTTGGTGACGGTAAAAATGAAAAATAGATGGGTCGAAGGCATTGGAACACGGCACGCTTTCGAGACCTGACATCTGCTCATGATCCGAACATCATGCATCATGTACGTATTACGTACTAGTACCAGTACTTGGAGTACAAATTGTACTGATTATTTGCTACAGTACTTATCGTACATCTGTACGAGTACTCGTACAAGCATGGGATTGAACTCGGATACCGTTACAATTCTTTACAATTCTCGAAACAAACATTTCGGTAAAGTACGGGATGAATTGAAATTTCTATTGTTTTCTGATGTACGTACAGTAGACGCACGTACCGTACCGTACTGCAAGAATCAGTCACAGACGTCGTCGGACACGAGCAGCACTACAGTATTGAGGGGAAGTTTGGGGGATGTACAAAAATTTTAGTTCATTTTAAGGTGAGGAGGACGAAATCGCAGGAATATTAGAACGCGCCTTTTTGTTTTTARAGATACTATAYTTACGGTTGATCACAGTACTACTARTATACTCACATGAAAAAACGTTCACTTCCTGTTTCTTAGGTTTTGCTTGGCGCACCGAAAACACTTTCSTACACGTTTGTCATMTCATGCCTAAGTTAAAGCGCACGTCTCACATACCTCAGGGAAAATTCCAACGGGCAAGAGAAAATTCSATTGACTWGMGGAATGATAAGTCCTGGTGCATGTCAGATATGGTACCTAAGAATACAATCAAGTGGCGGTTTGCATTAATGAAAGAATATAACGTTTGTATCCACTCACTCGATCTTAGAAGTAGTGGATGAGTTGAAATCACCATGGCACTCCAAACAGGAGTATTCCATACGGCGGGTGCTGGGGTTCTACGATTCTTGATACTAKTGGTGACAAGTTTGGTAGTGGCTCTGGCATTCTTCCTCGGAGGTGCTGCCGCTGAACACGGGAGCCCCAGGGGGTGTTCGTTGTGTCCAGATGGAGGCGAAATCGAGTTCCCCRATGCACCCATACCGTTCTWTGCGCTTCCCACCGCGGACAATCCCACCTGCGGCGATCTKGCGTTTCTAGCTTCCATGGTGCCACACGACAGCATTCGTTGCACCGAAGACTTGCAGCYCCACGCTGGATACTGCGGRTGCCCAAATGTAGAGCAATCCAATATTTGCTCGTTCTGTCCGGATGGCGATGCCCCGGATCGACCCGATCTTACATTACTGATGGGAGATACATGCGAAAGTCTGTACAGATACGTGTCCTTTTTCAACCAAGACCAATGCAACTCCCTTCAATACAGCAAAATAATCGGMAACGCATACGAATGCGGATGCGATATCTCCGTGGCCAAGCTTCGTCAGGCAGATCTCGCTCCCCTCCAGAAACAACACAATTGCAACCTGTGTGCGGACGGTTCCATGCCACCGGATCCCGATTTCTATCTCGAACTGGGCCAGATGACCTGCGGTGAATACGTGGACTATGCACACTCTCTGAATCCCAGGCAGTGCGAGATCCAGTCGAGGCGGGGGACCTTTGCGTTGTTTGCCTTTCAGTGCATGTGYCCGGGTGCGGAACCACCCGCGTGCGTCAAACAGGAAAACCCGGAACTCTGTACCGTGTCTCTCCTGAATTCGGTGGACCACGACGAAAAATGCGAGTGCTATTCGTTCTGCGACGGGGAGTTCGTTGGATGCGACAAATATCCGGGACATTTCCTTGGTGATAAGTGTTCCGGAACCAAGATATCCGGCTGCAACTACGCAAGTGCCATTGTTGATGTTGCACCCGAACCCAAACCCGAACCCGAACCCATTGACCCAGATCCCAATTCTTGCAGCATCTGTCCCGACTCCTCCAACAACATCGGCAATCCCGAAGCCGTCCTTCCGCCGTTCTCCGGGATCACCATACCGGGCCTTCTGGAAGAACCGACCTGCCGGGATCTGATAGACCACCTCGGCAAAAAGAGCAAGGGGGACACCGAGTGCAAGGTGGCACAATCTCGCCTCTCGCACCTGTGCGGGTGCGACGGGGCGGAACCGAGCTGCACGCTCTGCCCCGGAGGCGTCCCGCCCTCGTTTGCGAGCGCCATGGCGACCGTGGACGAAACGTGCGAGCAGTTCGCGAGCACCGTCCTCACCTGGGARGCCGACACGTGCGAGGGGGGAGAATCGTACCTGTCGGTGATGGCGGCCCGCTGCGGCTGCGTCACGGCGGAGTGGCCGGTGTGCCCGGTTCTGCGGCAGCCGGTCCTGTGCACCGTCAAYCTCYTGCGCTCGACGGACGAGGTCTGCGAGTGCTACAATTTCTGCGGGAGCGAGTTCCACAGCTGCGCCGACTACCCGGGGCGGCTGCTGGACGAGTCGGACTGCCCGGAGGGCGCCGAGGCCATCGCGGGGTGCAACATGGCGCTCGCCACGTCGCAGCGGTGCAGCCGGGGGTCGATCGGGCCACCCTGCGACGGCTACTACGAGGAGGTGGCGCAGACCAAGCTGCGGCACAACCTGCGGCACAACCTGCGGCACTAGGGAGCCCGGAACACCCGCTCTCGGCCAACACAACTACGGGGGGGTGGATGAAACCACGGACGTCGCATCTGGTAATTTTTTCATGGCACCGGAGCGAGTCGATCATCCTTGCATTCATTCATATAATATCTCATAACACCTATCAAACACCTTTAGCGTACATAATTTTTAACAATCACAWGCCAATGATATATCAATGAAGCAGGYGGTACTACTGTTGTATTCAAAAGCTCAATACTAGTCTATTGCCGTCCTACTATTGCACTGTACAGCCCAAGCGTTCTGTGGATCGCACTCCGATCTCTTCGCTRGGCTCTTTCYSTTTCTTCTCCTCGATTTCTAGGCGTCCTTGGGTCCGTGTTCGGCCTTGAAGTGGCGCACCCAGTCGTCGATCTGYTCGTTCAGCGCCTCGTGAAAGCCCCCGCGGTGCACGAACCGATCCACCAGGGGCCGGACCGAGGGGTTGCTGACGCTCTCGATGCCAAAGTCGTGTATCTCGTATCCCTCCCCGAGGGCTATCGTCCCATCGATGTCCGGGATGGAGAGGCTTCCGGCACAGCTCAGCTCGTCGTCGGGCTTGTCCAGCTCCCACTCCAGCTTGCAGCAGAATTCGTAGATGAACCGCGTCTTGCCACGAACGACGGCGACGCTGGCGTGGCCGTCGAGCTTGGCGACCTTCTCGACCCTGGCGACCGCACCGGGGGCCGGAGAGCTGGGCGGCAGCGTGTAGGTGGTTTGTAGAAGAAAGTCGGARAGMGTCTTCTTTGCCCACTCCGTGACGTTTCGTTCTTCCCAGGTGCCTCCCGTGTTCCATACCGATGTGCCCTGTTTGCTGGCATTCGCGGCCGCCGGGGTTGGCGCCGGGTTTTCGATTTTCTTGGGCGCAATGTCCCCGATGAGCTCCCTCGATTTCTCGTCCAGTTCGTTGTGGAAGTAGCTCGTCTTTTTTCCGTTGACGACCTTGTATCCCCGAACGGGTTCCGACTTGGTGAACAGCTTGGAATCGTCGTCGTCGTCGTCACCGGTGGCGTTCGCTGCGCTGCTGCTGCTGCTGCTCTTGGCAGCGGCTGGTTTCGTGGATTTGACCGATTTGGGAGGCGGCGCGGGCATCGACACGGTGGTTTTGGTGGCGTCCTTGCCGGAATCTTTGTCCCCCTCGGTTTCCATCATCAGGGCCTTCTCTTCCTCGACCTGTTTCTTGGTCTTTGCGACGAGTTTCGTGAGCGCCTTGTTRGTCGGGTCCAGCACCTTTGCCCTCGAAAAGGCATCGAGGGCTTCCTCCGGCCGGTGCAGGGCAAGCAAGGCCTGGCCCAGTCTCCACCAGCCCTTGACGTACTTCGGATCGTCCTGGGTCGCGGCTTCGGCGGCCACCCGTGCCTTTTCGAATTCTCCCATGCTGTTCTCCACCAGGCTCAGGTTGGAGTGAAATATCGCCTCTTTGTTCTTGTCCACAAGCGAACAGCCCGTCATGGTCAGGCACTTCTCGTACAGGAGCTTCGCGTCCATCCAGGACTTGGCTCCCACGGCGGCCCGGCCCCGTGACTGGAGCTCCTCCAGGAGGCGGACCTGCCCGGCATCGTCGTCGGGGTTGGCCTCCAAGACGGCACGGTGGGGCGACATCATTGCAAACCCGCTCATAGATGGTACCGACATGGTGGCTGCTTTGGTTTGGGGTTGCGGCTGGGTACGGTGTGGTCGGGGTGCCCTTTGGGACGGGGTCTGTAAAACGAATCGGAAGTAGGAATGGTGCGATTGGAGTTTCGAAGAAAAAAATAGTAACGGGAACAAAGGATGTTGGAAACAAAATCACACACCATTCCGATCGGCCAATCTCTGAAATTCAGGAAACAAGTAGTATTCTGTCCGTCGTACGACTAACAAATATATGCACGGTAGGGCACTCTCGTATGGTCGTTCCTTCGAATGTACGTAACGGCATCTCGTGCTACACTCCTACAGCATTACCGTACTACTACTAGCAGTAGTAGGTTTCATTCCTTACAACCGGTTGTAGTAGTTGTAGCATCAGCAGTATTSTCTGTAGTTATGTGAACAAACTACTACTAGCTACTACTACTAGAAGAAGAAGTAACTGCAACAAGAAATRWTCAGAAAGTTTGTACTCCTTTTTCTTACTATGGCTTGTTGATCCTCCCACCATGTGGGGTGCGGGGCTACAGAATTCAGCGAAGTGTCATGCAACAAGAAGGCAAAGTACATCCCTTTGGTCTTTATCAGSTCGAGWCTCAATCTTCGCTTTTAACTGACAAAATGCCASATTCATGTGCAGGCGAAAAGAGGCGTTTCGGAGCTGAAATGGACCTCAACACAATCAGAAACATCATATTGAATTTCGTTAGGATATGGTGTTATTTGGATTAACATTGCTATCGCTCAGATGTATACAACGTGATTSAATCTATTTAAATTCTCTCGTGTTWACTAGTGGATACATTCAACTAATCTTTGGCTTGATAGTCTTTATCGCAATTTAAGAAACGAGTACCACGCAGTGATCCTTTCCAAACAMCGTGCCAAATGGTTTCGAAGTACTGAATAGTTGCTGATGGTTCTGCWGCTTGATTCAAGCACACCGTGKTAAACATCTCGAGCGTGCTAATCGGCTTTCGCGATTACGAGGGAGGTGCAAGATTGATAATGTCCCCCAGGCTCCTGTCGAATTCTTTCACGTTGAGCTCGTTCTCTTCCTGGACCTTCGCCTTGACCTTGTTCACGGTTTCGTCGTCAAAAAAGCCGAGGAACTCGTCCAGCTTCACCTGTGTGGCYTCGAGGCCCTTTACGACGATCTCTTCCTTGCCCGCCATGGAGTTTTTGCCCACCTTGATGTTTTCGACGTCGCTMGAGTCGAAATACTCCAGGATCGTTTGCAGGTTCTGAACGGCCCCCTGGCCGGCATCGATCGCCCTCATCTGCAGCGCGTTGCCACCGGTGAGGTACCCCGACGCGCCCACCACCGAGTCGGACAACCGGTAGTTTTGCACCATGAACTTGACGGCCAGCTTCACGTTCGCGCGCTGCTGGTCCTTGAATTTTCCGGTGGTGATCAATCGGCGCTCCTGYTGGGTGGCCTCGCGGACCCGCACAATTTTGTACTTCAAACAACAACAAAAACCAAATTGGGAAAACCGGTGAGTCACCCGTTCTTGAACGCTGAAGAAATGYTTTTGTTCCTTGAGCGCATTCTTACCAAATAGGCATCTAATGAATCGTCGGCCGCAACAGCCGGCAGCGGCTTTGTAAAACCGGCCGACGATCCAAACAGGACAGCCGATGCAACTCCGAAATTCCGAAGCGCGGTCCGCCGGGAAAATTCTGCTCCTGCGGATTCAAATGGTTGGATTCTTCGATCCTCTGTAATTCGATCTTCCACTGCAAAGATCTTCTGACTCGTTCGTGTCGAAGCAAGTGCATCCGCTGTTTGACAAAGCCCCGAGAGGCTYAAGACGAGCAGAAACGTCTTCATCAGTTGTTGGACGGCCATTCTCTCTCTGTATCTGTAGTGAACCGGAGATCTTTTTYGGAATTGTTCCTCCCTTCSTGATCAATATCCTTTACTGTGTTGTCGTCGTGTTGATGTGATGGTTACGAGWAACGATTGAAGTCGATCACTCGATCACACAGCAGCTTTCGTACGGTACTACGTACAGTAYGTAGGTGTTCGATGATGTTTTTATCGGTGTTTTTGAAGTTCGAAAAAGTCAACGCTGTTCAAAAGTGCGTGTTCGAAGAACAAGATGACATTTCACCATATGTTATTTTGGTATGATACATATGACTCATATGCATTTATCAAATATTCGCTTAATAGTGGAGTTAATAGTAGTGCTAGTTCTGGTGGTTCTGGGCTGTTGAACAAGGTACGACTACCACTACAAAATCGAAGAAGTCGCACTTCTAGTGAGAGGATTTGTGGAATTGATWGCAGAGCTACTAAACTAGTGGTAGTAGTGGTAGTAAAAAGCCTTTAGAATTACTAATAATGAGGGCATCGCAACAAACCGAAACAATATTTCTGGTTATGGAGTATTAGTATTCACACTATGATTGTGCACAACCACGCTATACTTCCTGAACAAGAAAGCACTTCTATAACTGGATGATATGCATGCATTGAGCATCTAATAAGTCGAATATTATACTTTTTCATCGCTTTTCTTGAGAMATCATTTTGAATTTACTCAGTACGGGCGCACTTGTATTCTTKTAAGGAGACCAGGKWTACCACGAACCGAGGGCCTGTGAGTTGATGCAATTGATGCCGCCYAWATATCCATTATTCCATCTGCAGWTTTTGTGCCTTTAAGATGTTTGTTCGATAGGCTTCGATTGCCTCCGTTTCCACCAGGTAGGTTCCCAAAGGATTGCCGCACCGCGTTCGAATGTCGTCGTTGGTCAGACCGCGGCCGTCGCTGCCGCTACTGTGTTTCGGATGAACATGGGAGTCATGCCAACACGAACAAGCATCGGCCTGACAGTTGATTCCGTTTCGAACACAAAARCAATCCGCGTCCTTGCAGCAAGGTTCTTTTTCGACAGCCTTGTGCAAAATCTTTTCCATTTGTTCCCTAGATGATGAGGCAACTTTTGAATCATAGAGGTTCCTTTTCTTGAGTTCTTGAACGAGCTTGCTAGGTTTCAGACGTCGATGCTGAGCTTTTTTCCCGCCACTTCCGTCTGATGGCGGAAGGTAGACGACTAGTTTGCGACAGTTACATCCCGTGGCACCGGATTTATTGCGTTCGAATCGTATTTGCTCGAGTTCGTTGCGAACATGATGGACCATTGCTTGATTGTATTCCTCATTAAACTTCCCCTTCATGCTGTTCCCCAGGTCGTGGTTGCCTACAGAATTGGAACGTGACCGCCTGTTGTTGTTGCTGTTATGGTTATGATTACCGATCGAATTTGAGCGCGCTCTTCGAACGCTGTTGCTGTTGTTGACATGTTTTTGGATCTCACTACACGTGAACTCACTAGCGTCGAGAAAAATTGCGTGGCGCTCGTCTTCGGAAACAGATCGAAAAATCGGGTTTTTAATCCGTGATTTGTAGTCCCACTGGCGAGTCTCGTACACAACATTGCAATTCTCCTCACTGCAACTTTCGCCGCATGCAGCGCCTGCACCGACCATTTGGATAACTTTCTCATCAAAAGGTGCGACAGGATCGCTTTTCTTCTTCGACGAAGGCGAAGACTTTTTCGACGGAGACTTCGGTGATCCAGGCACTTTCTTGTCTCTCGCAGATAACATGGTAGTCCATCGCTCATGCAATCGTTTTTGTTTGCTCGTTTCATATTCGTCTAGTGGAATTTGGTCAAGGTCTTCGTGACCTTCAAGTTTCATTCCTAACGGCCATCCACCATGCGCTGGTACTGTATCCGTGCTGAAAGCCCTAGGGAATTCTCGTATTGAGACGTCAGAAAAAGACACCCCTTTGAGGGTGTTCGCTTCCTTCTGCTTAGCGGCCTTTTTCTTTTTCTTTCGTTGAAGTCTCTTTTTTTGATTTTTCTTTTGATTCTTAGTTAGCTTTGTACTGCTGCTGTCTTGCTGGTTTTGGTCGTTCTTGCTTTCGTCGACCAATGATAGACTGGAAAAATCATTATTGACCCTTCCATTAATATTGTTCTTCGTATCCAGAACTTGAGGAGGAGCRACCGTATTTATGTTTTCAAATGTCCTGTTGTATTGCTGCTGAAAGTAGCTTTCATCCTCCGATTCGTCCGATGATGAATCCGAATCCAGGACTAAGAGGTATGACTTCGATGGAGGTGGTGGAGGTGGCATAGTTGAAGACTATCATGTCATGGAATTGTAGATAATTCGCATGTCAAAGATATCGTCGGAATCAGCCGGAGTGTGTCCTATGGATTCAGAATTCAGTTTTACTCCGCTGTTTTCCGTACTGATACCAGTTTTTTTTTCTGATGTCTTTTCGTTTTCGGTTAGAAACCATCTTGTGGCCCAGCTTTTTGGTGACGTGTTGACGGTTTGATCAAGGTCACTTCTACGTTGGGGGGCGYAGTTCTCGTACTGTGCGTAGGGATCTTTTTAACTAAGTACTGTACTGTGGCTGCAGGTGAGTTGCGAAAAACGCTTCACCGCACCACACCAATTGGTACGAAAATCGCATCGTATGTACCGTACCTGGTAAGTACTCTTGTTCGATGGTGCTGTATCAACGAAGGTGGTAAGTATTGTTTGTTAAACACAAGAAATTTTCAAGATTTCAAGATTGAAGCTACTAGTAATTTGAAAAYTGAGCATCACAGATTGCATACTACAAGTATCAGTGCAAAAAGGCACTTAGTAGTAGTACTGAACTCGTCCGTGCCAACTTGCATGTACTAGTTTTATCTTTAGGATGATAGTATCACTCTCCGAACACTAACTCTGGTGATTCCTACCRATTGATTGTGCATTTCAGCAGGAATCATTCTCCATTCAGATGGTGATGAGAATAGGCAAATGCTATCAAATGGCAATAATATCATCCTAAATAATTAGGAAGAAGTACTCGCRATGAATAAGGAAAAGAAAAAAGTAAAATTATTCATAAAGAACACAAAAACCCTTATTGGAGGCACTATTTTCTTAACCCATTTCCCCTGACATGTTGCTGCCTTCGAGTATCAGCGTACAAATATTCTTATTCTAAMCCCAWTCTTGGTCTGCTTCGTCATATTCCATCAAGGCACGTAAGCACTTTCGATTTTCTCTCCAAGAGGTAACAGAGCATCCATCCATGGAAGTGCTCGGAAGGGCAAGTCCATGCAGATGGTCCCGCTTTCTTTTTTCTCCTCTTCCTTTTCCTCTCTTTTTCCCCAATTTWTTCGCTGATGTAGAAAGYGAAGAAGGCATCTGCTTGGACTTTTCCTTTGATGGGATCGATTCAGAAATCGATGAGAGACTTGTGCGCACCCTATCGCCAAACCTCATCATTGGTCGCTTCTGATGGGAAGTCAACCAACCCGAATGCGCTGGCAAACTTCTCGTGGAGGAATGCACTTTGTGTCTTCCTGAGTTATTTGAAGCAATACTCCAACTCTGACGATATTCAGGCTCGCTCAAGTASGAATAGTCGACCGTCCAGTCGTCCCCCTCTTCCCATGGTGCTTTTGTGTTTCTAGAAGCAGGCTTTGGAGATGGTSCCAAAGTTGAGCTTTTRGTAGCCACAGGATCTTTAGAATAGAAAACCTGCATATTAGATGTGTCGGCCAACTTATCAGTACAATGTTTTTCTTTTTGGTTTGCGGAAGTTGAATTCGGCGAAGGTTTTAGGCCAAGCAATGAATCGACACAACCAACGCGACATGTCCGCTGGCAGCGTCGCAACAAACACGGAGAACAGATGTCCTCCGTTGGCGATAGTTGAGATCCGTAGTATTGCAGCTTTTGGAGGCAGACATCGCATGTTTGACAATCCAAAGTTCGTCGGCATCCTTTGCACATCCCACAGCGATAGGTTGGTGCAAAAGGAACAACACGAGAATTCGATCTAGGATTGGGAGTGCTCAAAAGATAATCACTCCTCGAACTCTTTATCGTTTCCTTTTTCATGCTTTCATCGTCGTCTTCATTGCAAACTGATGCGTACTTCCTTTTATCCGACCGAAAGTTCGAGGAGAACAAGCCCTTAGGTCGCAGACTAGAATTTTGCAATGAGACTTCTCTCGGAAGTTGAAAAGAAACAGATCCTTCAGTTCCTGACACCTTGGACTCGAATCCAGACCCAGCCAAAGAATCACTACATCCCCAAATGCGCTGTCGTCGACTTGTAGATGAACAAGATCTCATGTCGCCGTTTCTACCATAGTTTGAGACACCACGAGGTGATCGTTTTTTATTTGGTATAGATGTCCCCGTGTAGTCTTGATCATGATCCGTAGATTTGATATTTTCCACGTCGCTTTGGCCCCGGAAATCATCATCGAAATTATTTTGTGAACCATGGCTATCGCTTGCAACAAAATCACTGTTCGATTTTCTGTAGATTTGATGATGATCAAACCTAGAAGGTCTGTTCCAGTCGCTTGTTAGCTCGCTGGTGACAGATCTCGCATCATTGGAATCTCTGCGCGAGAAGTCGCAATTTGTACTTCGGGCTTCGACAAGATGTGGATCCATCTCTGAGACACTGTCGCTGTATGTTTTATTCCTCTTCTCTTCTTCAATCTGTTCGTTGGCATTGCCACTTTGATTGCTGTTCGATGTCCCTTCTGACGAATGACTAGTGGACAAATTGTCATTATTGACATCAAAATTGACGTCTATATCACGACCTCTGCGAGAAAAACCKCTGCAATTATCTGGTTCCATATTGGTCGTCGCTTGCGACAAGCAGGCCTGTGTCACCTGATTTGCAATCGCCTGGACGGCAGATTCATCCAGTGAGGATGGAAGTGCGATGGATTGACCATTGCTGCGTCCGCCTCTCTTATGTCCCCTGGCATTGAGGTTTGTCTTTATTTTTATTTTCACCGAGAAGGTTGTGGTCGAACTATCAAATCGAACTCGTTTTTTCGAAGCTGTGGCATTCGTTTCTTGCTGCCGTAATGTGATATGTTCTTCTGTTGAATGTCTTCGAGGTGAGCTAGATCCGATGAAGCTGGTACCGATACGAGAGGACATGTTTCCGGCTTCTTCATTATTCTTAATAGATATTTCACTCGGTGAAAATTTGTGATCGCTTTGCAATTTGTTGTGTTTAGTCTTCCTTATCGACTCCCTCGAATTGTTCGAAGCCTTCTTACGAGCGACTCTTGCATCACTATTGTAATCTTCCAAACTTATAGAGGGCCGAATTGGAGAGTTCTGAATCTCGTCAACAACGGGCCGAATCTCAGAYTTTTTGCTTCTAGACTGACTGGAATGAACGGAATACTCCTCCATGGAGAATTTTTTGTGACGCTTACGCTGCGCGCGTTGACTCGATGACGACCTACTTGGTGACACCAACTGAAGGTGTGAATCTTTTACTCGCAACGCGTCAGCATCAGTCCTACTACCAGATGACGATATTCTGGATTTTGGTGTACCGATGTCGCCGGCATCATGCACTTGGAATCTTCGATCTGTTCGTTCTCGATACAGTGAGTCTTTATAGGACTTTAGTTCTCGAAAATCATCAGGTTGCAACTTTCCCCCATGTACTCTGCTCCTTTTTTCCTTCACCAATCGCTGGTTAGGATTGATGTCTTCGCCAGAGCTGCGTTCGCTTAGCATTGCACCAGAGCTTTTTGATCTATGGKCTTTTTGTGATACAATATCCACATCCTGGTGTAGTGAACTGTCGAGGTTGTGATCGCTACCGCATCGTCGCTTTTTTGGACTACGTGGCAACATTTCTGTCTCATTATCAATGACAGGAAAGGTCAAGCCTCCGGCTCTGTTCTGATCCGAAGATAAGGAAAATAGTTTTCTCGGTCTTGGCTTTAACCTGCTCTCGGGCGGAGAAATATTTACACATATCGGAGTTACATCGRTAGAGGAAGGAACCTTAGCTCTGCATCTGCCTTCAACCCATTCTTCGTCTTCAGAATCATCGTCGGCTTCGTCCCCGTCATCACTATCTAGTTCAAGTTCTTTTTCGATGTCTTCGTGCGTCAAGAATTCTTTCTGAAGGTTGGCGTTTCTCTTATTTTTACAGGCACGGGGAAGCATCTTTCTCGAGTTTCTCGTATTCTTACAAGCACGGGGAAGCCTCTTTCTCGAATTATGGTTAGCGTAGGAAAGCCTATCACTTCTCGTGACACGCCTCGATGAAAAGGTCAACTTAAAATCTTCTTTTTTTCGGTGAAACTCGTTGAGAATCTCGGAAGTGGAGCGAGCTCTTGCCATTTTTATACTAGGGGTCGCTAGTGATGCCAATAGGGGAATGAATTTGACCGGGACGGATGTTCCGTTCTTCTTTCCACTTTTTTCTCTGCACCTCTTTTTTGTCGTCTCCGAAGTTCTCTCTTCAAACGTGTCGCATTGCGTCTTCATATTCTTCGAAGCATTCATATCCTTCTCCTGTTTTGTAGTGCCATCCCCCATCTTTGAGAGATGGACCGGATGGCGTTGCGCTTGTATCCGGCGTTCACCATTGCTCTTAGTTGGGGTAGAACGTTTTGAAGGATGTGTGATCATTTGCGATACAAGACTTGCCAACGAATCACCTGTAGTATATTTGTGTCGGAGACGACTCTTCGATTTCCTAAAAGATGCAGCGCTCTTTGTAGCAAGATGCAATGGCTTTCTGTCTCGCATCCTTCTTTTGGAGCCCCGTTTTCGATGGATACTGCTGCCRCCATTTTGAGTTCCAGTTGACGACGTCGCTATATCATCGGTTTTTGAGAAGGGGAACAGGAAATTTTGAGAATCGTTCGCACAAGACTGCCCCGGAGAGGGAGATACAGAAGTASCCCCATCAGTCAACCTAGCTGTTCGTTTGTTTCGTGACAATCTCTTCTTGGCAAATAATTGTTTTATTGCCGGTGACTTGTTGGATTGGGAATGTTGTGACCTGCCACCTTCGTCACATTGCACAAGCGTAGATGCGGCGTTTGGCGAGGGTGTCACCAATCGACGTTCTTTCTTTCCCTTTTGGAGTACCTTGCCGGTGAGAATGCTATTGTTCATTTCGTCGTGGTCATCGTGGGTAGCGACAGATGGCGTTGTTTCATCCCAAGTCAACCGACGGCGACGATATGTAGTTGTGGCTGTCCGGCGTGATTTTCTAAACATTCCTGCTTCTTCCACTAATTAGTTGAATGTACTTTTTGACCAWTGCAACCATAACGAAGACTTCKTTCAATTCTCGTTCAGCAACAGCATCACCTCGAAAAGGACCATTATCCCAGAAACTCCAACTACCGGTACAGMTTTTAATTATTACCGCGCCRTACGGCGCGCCAAAAAGTAGCGACGCTCAACGGAAAAAGGATTTAGGAAAAGGTTCTGAGTAAGTTTTATTACTTGGAAATCAACAAGGAGCAGGTAGTAGTAGTAGTGCGAGTACTACTAGTAGTAGTATTACTATCCAATCCAAAGGTCATTTTCTGGAACAAGGATGGTGCAGGAGCAGAAACTGGTGGTGTTGGTGGTGTTGGTGGTGGTGTTGGTGGTGGTGTTGGTGGTGGTGTTGGTGGTGGTGTTGGTGGTGGTGTTGGTGGTGGTGTTGGTGGTGGTGTTGGTGGTGGTGGTGGTGTTGGTGGTGGTGTTCTTGGTGTTCTTGGTGTTCTTGGTGTTCTTGGTGCTGTTGGTGCGGGTGCTGCTGGTGGTGGTGGTGGTTGCCGTGCAGGAGTTTATGCTGCTGCTGGTACTACTGGCTGGGTCGTGGTCCTCCTGCTGTCTGCTGGTGACCTCCTCCTCCTGTTGCTGGAAGGCTGGTGCTGGTGCCAAAGGTTGTAGTAGTAGTACTAGTAGTAGCACCTCGTGGTAGCTCGTACTTTCTCTGCTTGAAAAAATTGTCCCCTAACACATCAAAATTGAATTTGCCGTGTTAATAGGGTGTATTTTCATGTGTCAAAAATTAATTTTTTTCATCACACCCCCCATGCAAATTCCTAGTTGGTAGTAGTACTGTTTGTACACATTATACACAGTCATACAGTAGTGGGGGTTAAATCAAATTATTTGAATTATTTGATAAGTGTTACTAAGTAAATTAGGGGAATATCATATCTGGACAGTAAAATTGCATTCACCAGACGGTYATTGTCGGACAGAGGAAGTAGTAGTAAGAGGACAGCAACAGGGAGAGGAAAAGAAGAATGAGAAGCATAAAGGAAATACAACACSTAGTAGTAGTAGATCAGTACTGAATAATTCTTTGCAAGTTGGAGTAGTGCTACTACTACTAGTAGTAGGCAATAACAAAATTTATGAGATGAAAGTCATGTTGTCTGTTGAAAATAGCACCATTCTGATGATTTTGAATGGGATAACTTGAGATAACAGAATGCAATAAAACACCACACCATGAAGTTCACCAAAAAATATATTCTAGCTAACATCAACAAAAATTACTCATTGCTGCTGGGTCCTACTAGTACTATGATAAATTGTCGTTGTTGATAACAGAATTGCTTCTACTAGTAATAGCAGACAATGTGGAAACAGTAGCAATGACCTCCCCAGGCCAAAATACTACAGGAAAAAGAATAAGTATRGCAGACCAAAAAGTACCACAAAGAAGTCACCAGCAAAGAAAAGTGTTGATTCCAAAAGAAGCAGGRCTCCAAACAGTGTCACACCTACTAGTAAGGGTACTGCTGTTGCAAAAGCTCCTCTTGACATACACCAGATGGTGGGGAGTACTAGTACTACAAATTCCAAATTCCACTGCTGCCTCTTCTCCTAGTACTGCTGTAAGAACAAACCACCACCAATGAGGAGAGAGTGATATAAGAACTCCTCAACAAGAATGGTGACAGAAACCAGAGGAGTGATTGAAATATCTTTTCCCAGAAGATACACTAATATTATTTCTGGCAATAAGTTTAACAGTGACTAGAAAATTTGGCCAACGAAAACAATCCTGGGTGTTCTGAGCAAAATGCCTGTAGCTGCAACAAATACATCATGAAGAATCTYAAGAATGCTACTACTAGCTAGTATGCAATGAAGCAATGGAAGGCCAATGGAAGAAGAATGTCAAGGCAAAGTTTCCTGTTAATGACATAATTACTGCTTGCATAATGAAAAAAGTAGCAGTGGAAATGGATAGGGTCAAACTATTTCACTGGAGTAGCTGCTTTYTATGAATTTTTAAGAAAAAGGTGTTCAATTCACTTTCCACATTGGTGGGTCATAATTTACAATCCTTGACCACCARCATGAAGAATTGTTTAGGTAGTATATTTCCCTTGTTTTAGCTATTTCTGTTTTTTGGTACTGTTTTCTTTTTTTGCTTTCAGTACTACTAACACAGTGATTTCTCTACCTAGTATGGAGAAGTAATAGTACTAGTACTTTTAGTACCTTAGTACCACAGCTGATTTGAAGAAAACAGCTTCTTATGTACTGTTCTTGGGCAGRAAATTTCTTGAAACCTGAGAATACAGAGGATGGGGTGACGTAATTCCTCACTGGCGCTGCTGGAGATATGAGGAGGATACCAAAAATGAATAATACTATTACTTTGTACTAAGTACAGTATTTTCCTCTGCCATCAATCTACTAGCTAGTAGCAAAAAATAACTGGTACAACAACAAGAAGCAAAGAAAARATAAACTTGCTCAGCAAGAAGATCTTCTCAGCCTTTACTTGTGAGTCCATTTCCTTAAATGATGGTGATCTAAATTGAAGTCTATCCATGGGAAAATCAGAGACAGAGGAATAGCAAAAGATCAATCCATGCATCCTGCTCTGTATTWGGAAGAAAAGATAATATGTTGCTAACAGCAGCGACAATGGGAATGAATGGATAGAAGAGAAAATGACTTCTTGTTCAGCCAATGAATTATGTTACAACAAAAGGGCCAAGAACAACAAGCTAGTGTTTGTTTTTGACAGAAATAATAGTATAAAGCTGAGACAAAAATTGGCAATGATTCAGGAAATATTTTAATTCCTTGCAACTTCTTTATGTGATAGTGGCTTAGTATGTATTTCTGTCGTAATGAGTTACTACCATGGATTATTTTCATTTATTTGTAAAATGATTTCTTGAGCTTGTGGGGAGAATGTGTAGGATCAAATGAATTCTTTTCAAAGCATGAAGAAAAAAGTGGCATCATCCAGTAAAATTCCCAGCAGTCTGGGTGCAATGGCAAAGGAATACTTGGGTGTTTTGTTTTTCTTGCACAGAAGAAGCATCTCTTGGATATATCATTCCATGTGTCTTCTTGTTATCTACAAATTGACAACGATCTTAACTCTTGCTCTTTGTAGCATCACAGTGCTATGGTAATGTAGCATTGTATCTTCTTGATCAGTCCCAAAATGTCGCAGTTGCAACGGCCACAACGCTCTCTCTCATAGTGATCGCGCTAGTTTCTCTTACTTTTTTGCACGTTATGAAGTGAGTCATTGCGAACGTCCCATCTTCCCGAAATTGCAAATGTGCTCTGTTGTACGTACAAGCATTTCACTACTTTGCTCTACCTCCAATCGCACTATAGAAATACATATATACTAMGAGGAGCATGACAACAGCAGTTAATAAAATCCGATAGATCCTTACATCATATCCATGAGATTGTTTTGCATCTTCGCCGCGTTTTCCAACAACAAGGCCTTGGCATTYATCGATTTTCCGTTTGGCTGCTGCTTTCTTCGTTTCTTGGACCGGTATTCGTCCTCGYCGTCCTCGCCGAAGTACGCATCCRTTTGGCCGTTGGTGCTTCCGCCGCCCCCGCCGATYAGTTCGTCGAGGTCCACGGTGGATTTGCCAAACTCCAGGGACCGGGGCAGGTTGGCCTTCTCGTCCTTCAGCTGTCCCTCGAGCTGTTCTCTCTTGCTCTTTTGCTTGGACACCAGGGCCTTGGGGGGTTCCTTGAGGGCAAACGACTTGGCGATGTGGCCAAAGTGGAGCGCCCTCGACGAAAATATCGACCGGACGATGGGCTCCTTCTTGGTGGAGTACGCCCGGAGGAAGCTCACAAAGGCGCTCCGCGCCATTTCCAGCAGCAGGCCCTCCTTGCGCCCGTCCTTGCTGCTGTTGACGAGTTTCCGCTTGCGCTCCTTCTGCTTCCGCTTCGAGGTCGACGCCTTGTAGGCCCTGCGGGTCTCGGCGTCGTCCCTGGTCACGCAGTCCTCCAGCCTCCGCTGGACCTCCGCGGCAAARTGCTCCCCCGAGCGGCCGCCCCTGCCCTGCTGCGGCCTGCCGCCCTCGCCCTGCTGCCTCGACCCCTCCCTCGTCAGTTCCTTGCAGGAGCCGGCGGCCTGGTTCAGGATGCCCGAGAGGGACACCGGGGTCATCTTGGCGATCCCCTTGGTGGMCAGGACCTCGAGGTACTTGCGCTCGGAGGGCAGCAAAAAGAGCAGCGAGTGGCCGGCCTTCCCGCCCCGGGCCGCCCGGCCCACCCGGTGGACGTAGTCCGAGATCTCGCAGGGCGGGTCGTACTGGACCGTCCAGTCGACGCCCCTCAGGTTCAGCCCGCGGGCCGCGACGTCGGTGGTCAGCAGGACGTCGGCCCTCGCGAGGGCGGACGTCTTTCCGTTGAATTCCTTCATGGTCTGGCTCCGCTTCGAGTGCGAGACGCTTCCGTGCAGCTTGAAGACCCGGGCCTTCTTGCCAAAGAGGCCGGGCCGGGGTTCCTCCGAGCGTTCCTCGCCCCCCTCCGCGCTTTCGTCGCCGTCCCACAGCGAGTCTTCCAGGGCGTTGAAGAGCTCGTAGTGAAAGTCTACCGAGGCGCAGGTTCCCATAAAGACCACCGTTCGTTCTCCCTTGGAAATCCGCTGGACCAGAAAGGCCACCAGCGCCGGCAGCCTCAGCTTGGCGGTGGTGGTCAGGTGGAACTGGGCCAGCTGGCGCGGCGTGGAATCCGCAAAGTCCTCCGCGCCGGTCTTGGCGGCGCCGCCCGCGAGCGGCCTTCCRCCGCTCTGTGTCGCGGCCGGTTTCTTCTCGCCCTTGACCCAGATCCACTCCTGGTCCCCGCAGAGGATCCGCTCCTTCGCCAGGGCCTGGACCGAGGGGGTGACCGTCGCCGAGACCAGGACCGACCTCCACCAGGGCTGCTGGTGCGAGGCGCAGGCCTCGTTGGCCCAGATCCACTGCACGATCTGGCGCACCTGGTCCCCCAGGCCCATGTCCAGKAGGCGGTCGGCCTCGTCGAGGACSAGCCACCGGAGCTTTCCCTTGAGGCTCAGCGCCAGGCTCTGCGTCTTGTGCAGGTGGTCGAGGAGCCGCCCGGGGGTGGCGACCACGATGGCCAGCCCCTTGCGCAGGCTCGCCTTTTCGGACTTGCGGGAATCGCCTCCCAGGAGCCCGCCGGGAACGATCCAGCCCGCAAAGTTCGACTGGCAGACGCGCTCGAGGACCCCGAGSGTCTGGGTGGCGAGTTCCCGCGTGGGGCAGAGGATGATGCACCGGCAGCCCATCTCGGAGCGGCCGACCTTGTGGGGCTTTTCGTCCCCGTTGAGGACGCCGAACTTGTTGCCAAAGGCCAGGGACTGAACGATCGGGAGGAGGTAGGCGAGGGTCTTTCCGCTTCCGGTCTCCGAGTGCACGAGGACGTTTTTCTTGCCGTGTTTGCTCCCGCTTCCGGTGGCCCTCATGGATTCCTGGAAGGCCCGGATGGTCCTCAGCTGGATCGTGGTGGGCTTTTCGAGGTTGCCAAAGGCGTCCGACCGCAGGGTCTTGAGCAGCCTGGAATAAATGTTGAGGGATTCCCAGCTGTTGTCCTCGGCGTCCGTGCCAAAGAGGTGGGAGGATTCCCTGGAGACAATGGTGGCGGATCGGGCTCCCGATCTCCGGTCGAGTTCCATGGGCCGGGCGTGGAACTCCGCCATGTATTTGGCCCGTTCCTCGTCGTCGTCCAGCTTGCCGGTGCCGCCCGGAGCAGCAGCTGCAGCAGCAGCATTGGCAGCGCCGGCACCGGTGTCGCTGGGATCCGATGGCACTGTTACCCCAGACGGGGCTTCGGAAGCGGTGCTCGTTTCGGTGGCCCGCGACGGGGGATTCGATTCCCCGATTTCTGGAACCGAACCGCCCTTTCGTTTCGCCCTTGCCTTCTTTGAGACCGGGACGGAATCCGTTTTCGGTTCCGTGTCGGATGGTTTCTCGCCCACGMGGTTCCGCTTGGTTTCGGGTGTTGTCGGCTTTCCGGCGCGTTCGTCGTTCTGGYCCACCGGAGTGGCGGTGGTCGGGGGAGACACCGCGYCCAGGGCCACGCGGGTGGTTTCCTTGCCGCCATCGCCACCGCCGTCGCTGCCGCCGGCATCCGTTCCCTTCCGTGCTGCTTCCTGCTTTGCCCTCTTTGCCTTTTGTCGTCGACGCTCGTACTTGTTGTTTTTCTTCTTCTTCTTGGCGCCCAGCTGCGGGATCGCCGACGCCGCTGGCGCGATGGACACGATGTTCAGGTCCTCCATGGCGGCGAAATGGGTTTGATGGATCGGGGGTTTGCTGCCGCGGAACAGTTGTGGTGTTTCCCGACAGAACAAAAAGGACGAGGGATGAAACTTTTTTTTTTTCGTTTCGGCCGTCGTGTTGTGTTCTTCCTTTCCTGGATCGTCGAATGCTTTTCACAGAACGAGAACGAGTTCGTACACTACTGGTGGCTACGCTACAGCGACGATGAGATGATTCGTGTCGTCCGTCCGGGCAAACAGTCAGACGAGTGATATGTATGTAACGTACGTAAGGTACGTATGTAACAGGACGGGTTGCGGTTTGCCTCGAGACTCGAGACTCGACAGCTGACAACAATATGTACGCGACAATATGTACGATACATATGATTATTATCGACATAGGGTACGCTCGTAGCTAGAATATACGAAATACGAAATACATGTCTGATACATACCGGTAGGACATATATACCGTATCCTAGCCAATCTCTCAAACGGGACTACGCGTACCGGTGCCACAATACGACGAGCATGAGGATTACCGAGCAAGCCAAGAGCGTAATTCCAACTGTACTTACTGTACTGGAGTCCTCCCGCCCGTGACTTTGCTTCCTCGTTTGACCCAGTCCCGTTGGATACGCTGAAACTCCCATAGTGCCGCTCACAAAAATATGTTGTTAAGTAAAAAGAGGCGGTAAGAATGGTGTCAGATCCGGCCGGCCGCGCCGGGAAACAGAAACTATGCSTGTTTTCTCAACAATACTACCACCGAAGTACAAGTATTTCTTGTGTATGACTGGGAACGACTGAATTTGTCGACACGCTATGCCATCAAACGAAAAACTTTGTCCAGCTTCCGCCGAGATCAAAATTATCAAGAATCGTATTGTTTGTTCTAGTCTACGTATCGTGTCGTATCGTATCGTACCAGYRGTAGGCARTGTAGAAAGAACAACCGTAGGAGTTTTTCCGTAGGCGCAAAGAGTGCACGATTGCCGTGCCCATTCCGGTAGGTGCAGCAACACGGTACCGTAGTCACGGTAGCAGAGTGTCCTACAGGGTCTTGCGGTACTCGTACCCGTACACGCCCCGTACCTCTACGTACTGTACACACGAAACGCAAATCATAATTTGCCTCGTTCTCGAGCATGTGTTTCGCACACTTCACATACCGTTACTTAAGAGGGCACAAAGCAGGAAGCGCATGCCTGCGATTCACATTTGCACGCGGGAACTCTTGCCTACCTTGTGAGTCGATTTGAATGAATCGAGCCAGAGAGAGGTCTGAACCCTTGTGTGCCGGAACGACCGACCCCGACCCAAACCCAGCGCAGGGCCCGTCCGTGATCGAAGACTCCGAGGGATCCTTCCCACCACACCGATCGTCCCGAGAGAAACGGAACAGACCCGGCGCCGCCTCCCGAAGGGATCCACACGCACCCACACCGCCGCCCGTTGTCGTCTCGCTCGCGGCAGATTCATTCCCTCGAAGCGGCCCGACCGAGAAACGGAAAGGGAAACGCTCTGAGTGAGTCGCGGTGCGAGCGGGGACAGGAACCGAAACGGACGAAACCGAACGCATCTAAACACAACAAAACCGAAACGAACCGAACGCCCACGAGGTGTGTGCTGCTGCTGCTGCTGCTGCTGCTGCTTCCCCGAATTGTTTCAGCGGTTTGCCCTCTGGAAGTCTTCCATTCTTTTTCCGTTGAGTGGTTCACAATCCCAGAATCCACAATTCGGAACGACGCAATCGCAACAATTGTCGATACGAAACCAACGGAACTCGCATTGACGAGGAATCCGCCCGTTCCTCCCTTGCCTCTTCCRYCGCCCCGTCCCTTCCGTGCCGGCTAGAACCCGCTCGGTCCGAACGCACCATGTTCTTTTAYAACGATCMCGGCAACGGGGACGCCTCCGATCCGGTCGGCAGCGGCGGTGCCTCTTCTTCGCTTTCCTCGTACGGCAGTTCCCCGTACGACAGCTGCAACAACGACGGCGACGACGGGGATGCCTGCCTGGAGGATCTCCAGCAGGGATTCCCCCGGAAGCCCGCACCGCACGACCGGAGAGACCGGACCCCGAGCAAGGCCCTCTTCGGGGACCGCCACAACCACTACGACCACGGCAACAGCGACAGCACGGACGACGACCCCCGAAGCAGGAGGCGACTGGGACGGACCATGGCATCCGGAAGCAGCGGGCTCCCCCTCCGGAACCCCCGGGAGAAACACCGCTCCCGTCGCACGCGGTCCTCGGCGCGGAGGTCGGGAAGCCACCGGTCCCCGGAAGGCTCCGGKGAGGCCCCGGAGGGAACCCCCGTTTCGGTGCGGCGGAGGCCCTCGCAGCCCCAGGGATCGTCGTCGTCCTCCCACAAGCGGCGGTCCTCCCTCCTCCGGCCCCTCCCCCACCACTTTCGGAGCSCCTCGGACCATTCCTCCCAGGAATGCTCCTCGGGATCCTCGCCGGACTCGAGCCCGACCCGGGGCTTTGTGGAGGAACCAACCGGCCGGCACCACCGCGTGCCCTCCCTGGGCGGCGCGAGCCGGAGCGGCAGCGTCTCGCCCACGAGCGGCAACCGGCCCTACCAATCGTTCCTCGGTGCCTCGGGCGCCTCGRTGAGCAAGAGCCCGTCGGCGAACAAGCTCGGCGGMCCGAAGCAGCGGTTCCCGGGAAGCGCGCCGAAATCCCTGTGCCTCCTGGCCACCCTCGCCGGGATGGTCCTGCTGTCGGTCTCCGGGATGGTGGCGCTGACCTACCGGGCCGTTCCCACCTTTGACCGGGCGGAGGACTTTGTCCCCACCCTTCCGGACCGAGCSRACGACAGCGGCCTCCGGGGAAAGAAGGTCCTCGGGCGGATGTGGGACACGAGCGGAAGCAACCTTTACGAAACCGCGAACGCGACGTCCCCCCTGCCGTCGAGCGGCGGGACGKWACCCCCGAACCAGAAGACGGGATCCGGCAAGCACCGGAAAGGCGCGAGAGCAAAACGAGAAGGAAGGCCGAGGGATGGGRCCACGGTGTTGCCCAAGAGACTGCAGATGCGCATGCCCCCTTCTCTGTCCGAACAGCCGGAACCAGGGTTTGACCGGGTGGAYCCGAGGCTCTACCCCGATTCTTTGGGACCGAACACCGGTGCGAGCCAAGACTTTCCGCGGATCGTGGTGGTGGACCCCCGGATCGCACAGCCGCGCGCGGCACGGACCATCGAGACCTACCCGGCCGATGTTACCGACAAYACGCAGCTCTACGGAATCCTGCCCTCGGACGACGAGCGGCTGTCCAAGATGGAACGGAGGGACCCCTACCGGACGGACGAGTGCGTSCCCATGCAGGACTGGCAGACGGCGTACCAGCCGTCCTGCAACGGAATGCACGAACTGGCCCTGCAGACGCTCGGGGCGAGCCCGGGACGGGACGGGGAGGCGCCGAACACGGGCAAGAGGGGCCTGGACGCGTCGCTCTTTGGAACCAAGGGCTTTTGGCGGTACGCGTGGAAACTGGTGATCGACCACTACGACGGCGGGGAAGCGGAGGAGGACACGGTTGTCTTTAAGAACCTAAAGTGAGTATTCCGAAGTGTGTGTTGCCGGCGCGTTGGTGCGTTTTTGGTATTGGTTTTGGCAGGCCTTGGCCTGCCCCCCGCGTGCCGTGCCCTGACGCTTGCGGCATTTTGTTTCTCGTTTCCGCAGGTACGGGCACGATTTCGAGGACGCGCACTTTGAACACGACCGCATCGACGCGATCGCGATGGAGCGGCTGACCTCGTCCCCGCACGTGATCAACATATTTGGCTTTTGCGGCCACTCGGTCCTGACCGARTACGCCGACGGGAAGCGGCTGGGAGAGCTGGCCGACAAGTCCAAGAAGAAGCCCCTGAAGCGGCTGGAGATTGCCCGCGACATTGCGAACGGCCTGGCGGACGTCCACGGGATCGACGGGGACGGCAACGCGACCTTTGTCCACCTGGACGTCAACCCGGCGAACGTGGTGAGCGTCAGGGGCACCCTCAAGCTCAACGACTTTAACATTGGCATCGTCCGCAGGTGGAACACGACSTCGAACGAGGCGTGCGGGTTTCCCGCCCAGTATCCCAACCCGCAGTGGCGGTCCCCGGAGGAGGCCCGCAACGAGCAGCACCTGACCGAAAAGGTGGACATTTTTTCGCTGGGCCACATTTTCTTTCGGCTCATTTGTGGCCACGAACCGTGGAACAARCTGGAGCCCGGCGGGAGGCCGTCCAAGGAAGAAGTGAACGAGAAGGTCCAGCGCGGAGACCTGCCCTTTATACCGGAGGACGTCGTTCGCTCGGACAACCCCGAGGTTGTTGCGATTCGCGATGCCATGCTGCAGTGCTACCGCTTTGACCCGAAGAAACGACCCAGTGCCCGGGACATTGCCAATGGACTCGATCGCAATCTGAAGGAGCTGCAACAAAAATACGCCAAGTCACTCGCCAACCGCAAAAAGAAGCCGAAAACCAAAAAGAAACCCAAATAGAATATTTTCGTTTGAAGGGCAAAAAAGTTCCTTCTTTCTGCCTCGATCAACCAACCGTYAATCGATTTMCTCGATCCCTTACAAACTGCAGCATTGTATGCATCGGTGTCCCTAGGAGCATTGACCATAGATTCGGGAACCGAAATTCAACCGAGAGAAGTGGTAATCAATCCTTTTTTAACTAGACTTTAGATAAACTCGATTTTTTAGTTTTTCAACTGAGCTATGCGTTCCGATCTGCCATTCGATTGTGCGCAGTTGGAACAGATTGAAACATTGGAATTCGGCAAGCCGTGGTTGCACTTGGTAATGATAGCCAATGCTGGATGATCGACCCTAGACACAAAAGCATCGAAGGGTTCGTCCTCGTCCATTCCCCCCGAGCACTCAATGCAAATCGTATGGGCAGAAGAATGTGTGTTGCATCGCCAAACGACTAGATCGCGGTTTCTAAATTATACTCAAGACGGTACTCTAGGCAATTGTCTCAACACAAATCTGAACTTCTGAACTGTACAAAAATCCTGATGGGAGGAACCGGGAACGAAAGGGTTCTCGAAACCCAAGATTTCAATCGTTCTTCGTACGCAGTCGTCGAATGCAACGCACTTCTTCAGCCCTTGTCAATTGATGTATTGGTTGGTTCGTTCAGCAATATGCTTTTGCTTATACCAGCTACCTCTTCTTAACGCTTTTTATAGAGCCACATATTTGTCACTTTCACCCACAAATCCTCTC